TTATGCTTTTTCCGCGTCCGGCCATTTTTTTGGAATTTTTTTTTGAATTTTTTTATACTATTTTTTGTGTTGATTTTTTTTTTTCTTCTAAAGCTGTAGAGTGACCTTGCTAAATTTGGTTTTCTTGAATTTGTGTTGAAGGGAAAAGGGGGAGGGGGGGCGTGGGTGCGGTCAGATTTTTGTTTTTTTTTTAGTAAGGGTAAGTCTGTCTTTTTTAGGTGCGGTGACTTAAGATTGGGTGCGGTATTTAGCAAATGAGTTTGAACATACAATCTCCTGCAGTACCTTGATTTTTTGTGTTTCAAATTGATGCATCTATTAATTTAATCTTTTGAACATTCAATCACTTTTTTTTAATTCAAAATTTATCTCAAATCTAGCGCATGGCCACTCATGGATATTATTAAAATAATTAAATAATATTAATCAATCTTTTTCACATATCATATCATCTTTAATTTATTATTTATTCACTCACATAATTTTAACAATTAATGAATTCTAGTCACATTTTTTATACTTACATTAAATCAATATTAATTATTATATTTTAAATATTATTTTAATATCAAATCAAAATTTCACGCAAACTTAACTCAACCAATTTTTTTGAAAAATTAACTCCGATTATCAAAAAAATTCATTCACAATTCAATCAAATCTATATCCAACTATCCAAACAACTCTTCATCTCAACTACAATTTTAAAGAATCATTTCAAAGTTAATGTGTATAAATCTCAGCAACTGTTTTTCTGTATTGTTCACACTTTAGCCCAAAACCAAGTAAAAAATTACGTAGCGAATTATGATAGAAGAGGGATTGTGGGTGATTGGACATGACATGACAGAAGAGGCTAAAGTTGGGGCAGAGAGTTGTAAGAAAACTGCACAACCATTAAGCCGCCAAATTACATCATATTAATTGAACAACGGCACCAAATGGCCACTGCTACTTGCATTTAAACATTTTATATTTCATCTATCAAACGGGTACTCAAGTGTCTAGTAAGCAGTAGTGGTAGATTTTGACCTACACTGAAAGCGTGCTTTTATACAATTATATCATTTCAAAATGAGTTTCTTTAGTTAATACAGTTAATTTAAAAAAAAATTGTATGATTAGTAAGTAAAATTTTAAGTTTATATTAAAATAATATTTAAAGTAAAATAATTAAAATTAATTTGATGTAAAAGTATGAGAGAAATGATGTGAAGTGATGGTTAATTACATTTATATGAGTATATGAACAGTGAATTAAAATTGATGTGATTTATAAAAATGATTGGTTAATGTTATTTAATTATATTAATAATATTAAGAATAATAGGATTGTGTTAATATTGAATTAGATTTTAAGTATGAATTGAGTTTATTCATATACAAACACACCCTTACTATAATAAGTGTCCGTTGATTCAATGATAATTAAAACATTCGACGAACCTCATTGATAGACACAAATTTTATGAAAAATCTAATATTACTACTTTGAAATAAACCATTTAATTTATAAGGCAAGTTATGAAGTTATTCAATAAAATAACAAGTAATTTACAACATATATATCTTTTCTTTTTTTAACTTTTATAATAACTACTATGTTGCATATCTGTGGAGAGATCTTGTAGATAAATGCTGGTTCATGCATGTGGTCCCAACACCCAATTATCAATATGTATGTAACTCTTTAGCCATAGCTATAGCTTCTTTGGACAATTGCTCTACATAAATATTAGCTCAGGCAAACATTTCAATCATTGGTAATGCTAACAAAATCTTGTGTACGGCCTACTATCTCCAGTTACCATCAACCTTTCATGTGCTCTCATACGAGCTTCAATATTAAATAGAATGTTAGCTTCTTAATTTTATTTTTAATTGGCACATAGCTGTGTGGGTACGTGAGTAAGTGTTGATATTGAATGGTAAAAAAATTCATAAGATCGAATTTGCCGAATGTTAAGAGTGCTTATAATTATTATTAATACCAGATGAATAAGGTTTCTTGATTATTGTTAGGAAGTTCAATTTATTCATCCATGGTATATAAGAGCGCTTAGATTTTAAAATAACAAAAACCAGACACGAAACTTATAAATAGGAACCAATAATTGTTTACACAAACAAAGATAAGTTTACCGTACAAATCGGGTCCTACTCTTCACCTCCCATTATACAGCCCTTTTTAATTTCTTTGACCACATGCCTGAATCCATAACTGAGTCAAATGATTTTTCAAAACAACAAAAAAAAAATTAAAAAAAATCTCATTATTATTATTATTATTATTATTATTATTATTACTATTTAATCCTGAATTTTCCATGAGTGTGACAAAACATATCATGTGTATACAAAACATGCTTCTCAGAAAAATTAATGAGTCTAGTTTTGATTTTCTCCCAATCACATAGCTGTATTTTGTGTTTTTGCCTGTGTTTTTTTTTTTTTTCCNGATTTTGTTTGGAGCTAGTTATACTACAGGACCTTTCTCAAGACAATAAGTTTGATGAGGCAATGACATGTAACGACCACTATTATATGCATATGTAGTTAAACTTTTTTGTAAATAACAATAATCTTAATTGCATTAATCATTATTCCCCATATTGCATTAACCACTATTCCCAATAATCAATCTGTCATCCCCATTGAAAGGGATTATAGTTATGCTCAAATATACCATGAAAAGGAATATAAATAAGGGGACATGACAAACAAGAGTTGAGTTATGTTCTACTTATTTCTCTAGATTCATTTGGTCTAAACCCTGGTTGATAAGTTATGCAGGTCGAGTTTGAACTTAAAAAGAAATGAATATTTAATAATTTACACGTGTGAAACATCAACGATAGATGTTTCTTTTTAGATATTCATTTTCTTTTATATATATTTAACAATTAATATTGACGATTAAATCGTAAAATAGTATGAGGTCTTGAATTTCTGAGTGTCGATCATCAATAAATAGCATACTTTCACTAAGAAATATCATAAATTTCAAGATTTAATATTTTAATTTCAAAATTAAATTTGATACTTTCAAGATATAATATTTTAATTTCAAAATATATATATATATATTAGATTGTATGATAGTCATGGTTGGTTCTTTGCAAATAACGTGATGGAAATTTCTGTTTGGGGGTATTGCCGCGTGGAGCTTCCCCGTAATGGGTATTTTTTCTGCGGGAAGTGGGGCCCGCCTTTCCACCACCATCACCATGTGAACCTCTCCCCAATCAATTTATATATTCTGAATTTGAATTTACATACATGTAAATTCTGAATTTACATGTGAATTCTCAGAATTTACATACATGTCCACCTTTTCTTTTCCTCATACATGTTCTAATCCCCATACAGTCTGACATGTGAATTTACATACATTTCCACCTTTTCTTTTTTCTTTTTTTTTTTTCTTAAGAAAATCAATATAAATAAATGATTCTCTCTTAAACGAAAACTTAAATTTTTGTATGAATTAACCTAACCGTTACAATTATAGTAATAATAATGCCTGTTTGACTTGGGAGATGTTTGGATATAAGATGTTTGATTAAATTTGAAATAAGTGGTATGATTAATTATTTGTGGAATGTTAAGTTTATAATATTAATAATTAAAGTAAATTTGATGTAAAATTATAAAATAGATTATGTGAAGTGATAATTAATTGAATGAGTAGTAAATTAAATTTGATGTAATGTGTAAGAATGATTGATTAATATTATTTAATTATATTAATAATATTGATGATACCGTAATTGAGTTAAAATAAAATATGAATAGTTAAAAATGATTGAATTTATTTTAAAAATCTTGTATCAAGCATGTTCTTAGAGTTTTCAGATCTTATGTTTGATTGAGTTGTTGAACCTCATAGGGCAGCATTTTCAAAATAATAATCGATAAAAATACACTTCAATTATGAAAATGAAACATAGCATATACATAAATCAGTGTATCATACAACAGTACATTTATATATGCTGGGTCAAATATCCAGTCAACGGAACAAAATTGGTGGTAAGAGAGCTTATAATAGTTGCATTCCCTGTTACAAACTCCCTATCACCATATTTTCCGTTTTACTAATATATATAGTATATTGCATATTAGGTGTTCATATAATAACGCCATTAGAAGAAATCAATTAAAGTACAGACTTGCTAAATAACTATTTACTCATAGTAAAAGTTCCTAATGTGGAAAATAGTTGATGATGCAATAATTTAAGAAAGTGGAGACCTTTGAGGAGTACTTTTTCTTCTGCTGCTTAATGACATCATAAATCTCCTTCTATTATATGAATCCTTTTGCATTGTTCGGGATCCTGAGCTACCCGTTTCGAAATTCGACCCTCCGTATTCAAGTGGGTCCTCAAAAATGGAGTTCGGTGTATCATCAGACGAGACATCTGCTCGGAGGCCGTCCAATTGAGAGATGGAGAAGTCGGATTCATCAAACCTCCACGTAATGCTCGATAGCTCTTCCCCTTGATACAACATGTGATACACCTGCATGCATTCATATTCATATTAATTGGTGTTGTTAAATTAAACGAGCCTTGTTCGACTCGACTCAGCTCGTTAAGGTTCGAGTTCGGCCCCGTTCGTCAAAGTAAGTCTCGAAAAGATAATTTTTACATAATTTTTATTAGTTCAACTAGTTAAAGCTCGAAGTCGATCATTAAGACTCTGACTCGACTCGTTATTAGTGATAAACGAGTCGAGCTTGAACTCGAGTTTATGCTCATTGATTTAAATATTAACTATGAATTTATCTTAATTTTTACTATTTCTTTGTCACATCATAATTAATTATGACATACTACATTACATAAATTTGCATGAATCTTCCTTCTTCAAAGGGAATTTTTTTCTTTTTAGTCTTAAGATTAGATTTTCTATTTCAATGTAATGTCTCAATTCATGTTTAATCAAGCAAGGATTCAAATATAATTCTGAAACAGAACATGTTAGTTATATATAGTTACTAACATTTAAATATGAAAGTTCTCATGGCATATGTATAGCAATTAACTACCGAAAATTTATAATGTAAAATAATGAAAGTGTGGACCTTGCAAGAGAGGGAGCAGAAATGAAAAGAGTTCTGAAGAAATCTGTGACAGGTGGAGCATGGATTGCCAGAGGAGCCTTTGCAAGAGCCTCTGGATTGTGCTCTCTCATTCAAGAATATCACTTTGGCACCATTTATTGTGTAGGGCTGCCAAATAAGAACAAACAAAATTGCAATAATAATCATTATATCATACTATGCTACATACCACCTACATATCTTCCTCCCATACTGAACTATCAATTACTTTATATTTTTATAATAAGAATACATAATTTTATTCTCAAGTGACGCATTTTTTAAGATTGTGTATGGTTCTATATAAAAAATAATATAATTCCACCTGCCGAAACTAATGTCGACATAAAAAAATTATGAAATAAATAAATATATAACATTTCTTGTTCTACTTTCCAAAGTAAGTTATGTTCCATTCCATTTTAAACCAAGTTACATTTGCTATTTGCTAACCATGACTATATTAATTCTATTTGCATTAATGATTGAGAGGATGCAAAAGCAGTTCGATATGCTTAAACATGGAGTATTAGAGCATCACCAATGCTTAAAATGTAATTGTAGTAAATTACATTCTACATTAATATATGTAGCAATTTATTCACTTTTAATCCTCCAATGCACAATGTTATCACAAATGTTGTGATGAAGTGAACATAATTAATATCTACAATGTAGAGATGAATGTGGTTTATCCACATTCTCATTCACATTCTAACCAACCAATAGAGAGAAGAGAAAGAAATATTATTACCATTTTCAAAACATTTAATCATTTAATTCATTTTTGTTTTTCATATTTATAAATTTTTTATTTTAGCCAAGTGGACAATATTGTATTTGATTATATTGTGCATTGAAGACAATTTTTTAGAATTAAAGTTGTGAACCTAACAATTATCTTATGTGGTTCACAATCCATCTAATTAATTGACACTTGTCAAAATTTATATAATCCGTGTAAAAATAGCATGACTAATGTTAATTAAGTAAAATAAATATATATATATATATATCTTTTCACAAATTAATCTATTGAAATTTAATATCCCAAAAAAAAAAGGTTATATATTTTAGTTTAAAACATTGATATTATTGAATTAATTGGGCTATCAAATTATCTCTTTACAGCTACCTGAATAAATGAACAATCAATGAACTTTTCGAGGTCGTCCAATCTAATGACGTCTTGGTACAGATATCTTCTCACCTGTCTCGAAAAATAATTGGAAAAAATAATATATTCAAAAAATGTCAATTATACTATTGCATACATAACAAAATTACTTACAAACTCTTATTTTTTAAATGTTATTTTGATTTTATTAACAATTAACTAAATAATTAACGTATTGAATCTTTTATACATATCTTTCTATTATTACTCTCATCTAACAAATAAATACACTACTCTTTTCATATTCACTCTTCATTTTTTTTTCAAGACATCCATCTCTATCCTTATTAATGAGGATTAATATTGACAATTTTTTTTTTTTTAATTATTGTACAATTTCTCAAAATTACAGGAGGAAATACATATTAAGAAGTGGCCATAATTAATTATTCTAAATCAATATCTCTTTTATTTCGAAAAAGATACCAATAATCAGAATAGCTGATCAACTGAATCAAATAACCAAAAGCTAGGGAATGACCATTAAGACTTGACTAAATTCCTTGTACAAAATAAGGGCAAACACATATGTTACATTTCGATTCCGGCAACCAACCACTCCAAAATAGTGAACTCATTAATTGTTGTAATTTGTAAATATATTAATTTCAAGGTCAGGAATGCAAATTTCAACTTATCGGTTTAGACAGAATTTGAACAATCAAATTACACTAACCGACATGGTTTGTTTGTGTAATCTGACGATTCATAACAATAAGTTTGAGAATTTCAACATATTGGCCGGTCTAGACCGTAGATGTATGTTTTTGATCTAAAGGTTTTGAATTGAGACCTTAGGATGGAATTGTCCATAGGGTGGAAAAAAAATATTCCTTGAAATTGATGAATTGTGAAGGGTAATCTCGGAAGTCAGAGGCAAAAAAGGAGTCAAAGCAAAAGCAAGTAAGCAATAGATAATTTTCCCAGAAGAAAATGGATAATAAACAAACTTCTAAAAATGGGGATAAAAACAAGTGTAGGTTGTAGAGTTGTGGCCACAATGTCCCAACTACTGCCAACTTCTAGAAATTAGAAATACAATTATAGAAATTTGGAGACCCCCAATTGAATATGTACTAACAAGCAGTTACCTTTTTTATATAACATAACTTAATTTGTACCAAAATTCAAATCTAAGGAGCAAATGGCATTTGGACATGTGACAAGTTGTTGATATCTTCAATTAGATCCTCCAATCTCACAACCCGATTTCAGCCGTCGGATTGCAAAACCCAAGAGCAAAATCATCCCTATTGTTGCTAATTATCAATACCATTAACTCAATTGTAAATGGACATTTTAACATGAATTAATTATAATTATCAATACCATTAACTCAATTGTAATTGAAAATTTTAACATGAATTAATTATGATTACATGATGTTTGTAGTTATTCAAAATTCTTTTATAAGCTGTTGAATATTTGATCATGTTCACCTGGATATAACTAAAACCATATTTACTACAGTTAGTTTTAAAAAGGATGATAAAAATTACACTGAATTAAAAAAAAAAAGTAAATATCTTAAAATAAAAAATTCATAATATGCAAACAAACACACACACACACACACATGAAAAAAAAAAGGAATTATAAAATTTTATCAAGAGATGGATGTAGAGAAATTAATTTGCAACTAAATTAAGATGGATTTTTTTTAGGAGAATTAAAATAGTAACCCGGATGAGAGGATGTTAAGAATTCCAGGCATAAATTACAGATGTAAATAAGTTTCACTCTAAAATTTTTCAAATGCACACTAAAAACAAAAATAAAGTAAAATCACAATTTTCATCAAGATATGGATATGTAGGTAAATAAATTTGTAATTAAATCAAGATATATAAAGAAAATTAAAAAATTAAGATAATTACATTAACAAACATAATAATAATAATAATAATAATAAAAACCTGGATAAGAGGATGGGAGGGATGATGAGAAGCGAGACAGTGATGGCAAAAGCTGAGGCAGCAAATCAAGCAGTAGATATTCTTTTCGTTTTTCGACCGGAAACTTTGGTGGGCCCCACAACAAGCGAAGAAATTCTCCGACATAAGACCTCGAAGCCATGCAGGCGGCGCCACCACCTTCTTCATCTCATTATCTGCAGCTTCACTCATCATCCTCATCATCATCATCCTTTTATTCTCATTCACTGTTAAGTGTTAACTACTGCTTTTCATCTGCCTTTTCTATCCAACCTCAGCTATATTATATATACACTTGACTTGGCCTGCCTTTGGATACACGCTTTTGTAGTTTTGTTTAATCAACACTCGTATACATACTATAGCACTACTTGGGGGTTAATAGTATGTCCTTTCTTGATTACCTAAAATTGGTTTTGTATACTGTTTCTTTTTAAATGGATTATGTGGGGTGATCTAATTTGATGCTAGATAGTTTTTAAAAGTTAGCTAGATTCAAAAGAAAACAAACTCATGTTAGACTCATATATAGGTGTGTGCGCTCGAATCAATGCTCGTCTCGAACTCGGTCAAACGCCAGCTCGAGCAATTCAATCGAGCCTCGAGCATCATTTCAAGAGGGTCGTAAGTTCTACGAGCGCTTGACTTTTTAATTACATAC